ATTGAATAATAAGACCGTTACTGTGAAATACATTAATATCAATCTCACCTGGAAATATAACCTCATTTCCAGGAGATTTTTACAGTCTGTGGAAAACATGAAAAGTAGGATTGAACAAGATAAACAAAGCAAGATTTTGGCATACTTACTTGGTACATTTTCTTTGTGATGTATTTCTTTATTCAAGATTTTGCCAATTTGTTTTATAACATGGTCCCACAGACAGCTAAGGCTCATTGGAAGGGGAGGAAACAAGAGGCCAAACATAAAAAATTCTTAAACTAACTTCATATCCAAAGAAAAAGCATGTATGTCTACATCTCAAATGGTTCAAGCCTCTTAAGTGCTTTAAGCGCAGCAACTTTTGCCTTAAGTACAGCAACTTTTGAGTGCTGAGTCTAATCAAACAATATTTTCGATGTTGATGAGCTGAAGTCTATAATTTTTACTGAGGAATCAGACAAAGAGGAAGACTGCTGATTATATTGTGGCCACTGTATCCCACAGTTTAACAGTTGTCCCTGCCATAGCTGTAATGGTCAATGCATCAAATGACTCTTTCCCCATAACAGAAGAAAATCTCAGGGCACACAGAGTCCCCGCATGGGAAGAACATAACAGGGACTATGGGATGAGGGAAATGGGCCATGGAAGAATGCAGAGAGACTGTAAGGGAGAGGAAGGACAGAGCTCCTCCATGAGCCAGGGAAGGGACTGGCACATCCTGGTGACCCAGCAAGAGGGAGTGTTGGATTCAGGAGTGCCAGAAACAGGAGAATAAAGGAGGTGTGCACACAGTGGGAGAGGCACACAGAACAGGAGGAGAACAGAGAACATCCCTGTGCATACAATGCACTGCCCCAGGCATGACCTGTACACACAGAACCTCTCAAACAAATTACAAAATGGACAACTCAAACTGACTTTCCCTGGTTCATTTCACGTAACACCAGAGGTGAGTGTGAAAGAATTCCAAAGAGGAGAACTCAGTAAATACACACACGTGAAAGCTGTCCTTGGAATGATCCACAAAATCACTGCTGGCACTTCATTAAGGCAAAGGTCTAGAGCCATCATATTCCCTAGCAGCCAAAGGGTAGTTACATAAATCCAGTGCTACAAGGGAAATTGAGAATCTATAGAAAGACACCCCCAGACAGGTAAGGCCATAGGCAACATTTGCTCTTTTCACCTGTTGTCTGGCACCAAATGCAAGTTCTCATGAACTGGCTGGACTTGAAGCTGATATTTGCTCCATAGTTGACATTTTTCCACACAGAACTCCAAAAACTTATTTGGCAAAATAATCGCCATGGGAGAGAGAGCTTCATTATTAATGTAAACAGCTCACTTTCTCAAATTACCAGTTTTGCAAAAGGCATGAACTTGTGGGTTTTGACCCAAGAAGACCAAGTACCCATCCATTTAGAGCACACACAAGATGGTATGAAGGGAGCTGCTGTGCACCACTTCTGAGCAAGGACATGGACAGATCACGTCCAGCCAGGGGGACGCTGTAAAGCACAATAAAACACTGAGTGAACCTGAACCAAACACTACACTTTAGGGACTGATTTAATTCCACTGAAATCACTGATGTTAGCAAACAGCTAACCTGGCTCTCAGCATGGTGACTCAGGGAACACCATGGAAAAGTTTGCTTCTCCATAAATTCTGTAGCTTAAGCTCACAGATGAGAATTTTAATTTTTAAGTAGGGCACAGGAAATCCACAGGACGCGAGGGTTCAGCTCAAGTTGTGGCAGAGGCACAGTGCTCCCTACAAACAGTGCCTCTGTATGTTATCTGTGGTGTGAGCTCCAGTTATTTCACACTATAGAGAACAGCATTCTGGTTTACATTTCTCCTGCAAATCTGTGTGTCCCACTCAGCCCGCCCACTCTAGACAACAAAGTTATATGGAAGATTAAACTTTTGACTTCATTTCTTCAGTAGCACACCTGATTTTAAATTATGCATCACGATAAAAAAGGTTTTCTATAATTACAGTACTCCCACAGGCACAAACACAGACACACATTGATATACCTGAGTCTCTGGGTTTTAGGCATAAAGTTTCTCATAGTCCAGAAGCTCCCAAAAGCTGTTACCATTGATTGGGCACAGGTGTTAAGAATAATTAAAGATATAAGAGATATCATTATTCAGCCATCCCTCAGTGGAAATCACATTAAAGCAGAGTCACTTTCCATTAGGCTTATTACATTACTGCCAGTAAGGCCACTGGTACATTTGATTTTCTGCCATTATTGGAACAGCTTCTTCCTGGGTCACTCCCAATTTACCAATAACTGCGACTATTTCCAAGCACCGCCTCCATTTCACATGTTTGGAGCTGCGTTGTCTATTCCTGCAGTGTACAGTGGCTTCCAAATGGCTTCCAGACCACTTCACCAGTCCCTGGGACAGCTGAAGCAGTCCGGGCCACTTGTGGATTTTCTTTGCCAAATAAGCCACCATATGGTCAATAGCTACTGCTGGAGCCTTCTGCTTGCAGCCACAGGCTCTGGCCTCACACATCCAGCAAACAGACTTTTTTGGGCCTTTTCCATAGTTTGAGCAGATGGAGAGCTGCTGCTACACTGAACAAAGCTGATTTCCTTAGGAACAAGAAAAAAGTTTTCTGTTGGACCTATTTGACATTGGTGCATTTTTCTTTTTTGAACTATTATTGTTCAAACACAATTTATTCACAGAAACTAGATAAGTGGTTTCAGCCATGTTCCATCTCTAAATGTTACCAGAACAAGTGGAAGAGAGGCAGCAAGATGAAGCTGGAGTTTAGGTAATGGGCTTCTGGATTTAATTTCTGGCTTTGCTGTAGACTTTCTGCATGACCTTGGCTAAATCAGTGGGAACCACCCTAGGGAAGCCCAGTTTCTGCTGCTATGCCTGTTCCTAGCCAGCAGCCCCTCTGAAGCCCTAAATAAGCTGTAAGCCACAAAGGAGCAGCTGACAAAACAAACTTCCAAGGGTCTTGGTAGACTCTGGGCTACAAGAATGTGGAGCTTGAAGATGCTATTATTGTCCAGAGCCTATTCCCTCAACAAGGACATCAGATTACTCATCACCCAAGCATTCTCTTTCCTGGCAAATAAAATCCTATTTTGATCTCAAGGCTCCTCCAGCTCATCCACACAATACTGCACCTTCATTTTTGATGCCCCATATCTCACCCATCTCCTCCTCCCAGTGACTGCCAGTAAATCCTCTTGCAGCATGTCCATTTTCTGAGTGGGCAGTTCCCTGTTACTGGGGTCCCAAAAGATCAAATATTATGTTGCTATATGCAAAAACCAGCAAATTAAATATGATTATGCAAGCTGGCTTTCCACAGCCAACTGTCTAGCCATCAAAACTAAGCTACTGCCAGCTATTAATGATATTGTGGCTGGCTGAGATTGGCTGAAGATATTTAACAAGATGCCACTATGAAATTGGGGTGCAAATCTAACACAGGAACACTGTAGCCTCAGATTCTCAAAACTGAAATCTTAAACCACAAAGAATTTAACAGGGTTAGTGCTGCATGTACCATATAAGTCTTGAAGAAGACAATTTAAAAGAACAATTTAAAAGTAGCTGTCTATTCGTAATCCTAGCATTTTGAGGGCCATCCATCTTCACATTTTTCCTTATCTAATGGATTATCTATAAAGGTCTTGCCAGTCTTTAAGAGCATAGTTAGCAATGAAATATAAAAAAATGTAAAGACAAGTGTTTGAAACTGCTTGAGAAATTATAAAAGCATAATAGATGCTACTTTGTAGAAATGTGCATGCTTGAAGCTGCACACCAGGAAATTGAAAAGCATTAGCCATTCACACAACAAACAATGAAGTAAGTGAGAAACCTACAATACTAAAACATTGTTTTACAAGGGCATTTACAGAGCTGACATCTGTTATCTCCAGTGGACTTCGGATTTCCTAGAAAGAGATCATCTCATTGTCAGGAAAAAAGTCACTCGAGAATGCACTCACAAAAGAGTTTATCTGATTTTATCAGGTGGGGTACAAAGCTCCCATATTGTCTGTCTCCTTGCAGGCAGCACTACATCCATGGTAATTCTCTTTAAATATTTTTGCTTGGAAACGGAGAGGATAAAAAAATCAAGACTACAGCATTACAAGCAGACACCCAAACGGTGTGCAACAGCCAGAGGAAGCATTTACTGGACAAAACATTCACTTGTACTGTGACCAGGGGGCCTTTCTGGTGATTCAGACAGTGCAGCAAGAACGTACTTGGCGCACACGCTCTCCCAGAAGGATCAGGGAGCGCAGCACGGAGGGAAGGCTGTGGAGCAGACAGCGAACCTGTGCACCACGCAGATATTTGCAGTGATGCCATGGCCCTTCCCCGTTCGACATCTTTGCTGAGCGGGATTTCCTCCGCCGGGAGCGGCACCGCCACCCTCCAGCGGTTCGGGAGCAGCCCGGCGGGGTCCCGGGGCAGCGCCGGGCCCCGTGTGCCCACCGCCCGTGAGCCCCCACAGGGCCCCGACCCCCTCCGTGCCCGGGACGGGCTCTCAACTCTGCAGAGCTGCGGGGGCTGCCGGGCGCAGAGCGCCACGCCTGCCACAGGGCACCATCCCCGGACAGCGGACACCGTCCCCGGATCCGGGACAGAGTCTCTGCATCCAGGACACCATCCCCGGATACAGGGTACCATCCTGGCACTGCACCATCCCCGGATACAGGGTACTATCCCCGGATACAGGGTACCATCCCCGGATACAGGGCACTGCACCATCCCCGGCCCCAGGGCTCCATCCCCGGCCCCAGGACTCCATCCCCGGACACAGGGTACCATCCTTGGATACAGGGCACCGTCCCCGGGCTCAGGCCTCGCCCCCACATCCCGCGAGGGCGGCCGGGGCACCTCCAGCCCCCGCTCCCGGCCCGGCCAGCGGGGAGCGGAGGAGGAGGAGGAGCCGCCCCGGCAGCCGCGGCAGCCCCGGCCCGCCCGCCCGCCTACCTGATTTGGGATAGGTGACGATCCAGACGTCGCTGTCCCTCACCGGGAAATTGGCGATCTCCTCCATCTTCCCGCGGCAGAAGGGCGGCAGCCGCACCCCATTGTACTCGAAGTACTTGCTCTCGAACTCGCAGGGCGTGCTGGGGGTCTCGGCCTCGCTCTCCGCCATCCTCTTCCCTGCGGGCCGCGGGGGAGGCCGAGGGGCGCGGGCCGCGGGCGCTCCGGCGGCAGGGAGGGAGGGAGGGAGGGATGGAGGTGGGGAGGGAGGAAGGGAAGAGGAGGGGAGGGAAGGGGCGGGCGAGCGGCGGGCGCGGCAGCCCCGGCCCCGGCACAGCCCCGCGCACGGCGGGCGGCGGCTCCGCGCACGGTGATGTCATTGCGGGGCAGCCGCAGCCGCGGCTGGGCCGGCAGGGGAGGGATGGATATGGATGGATGGATGGATGGATGGATGGATGGATGGATGGATGGATGGATGGATGGATGGATGGATGGATGGATGGATGGAGGGATGCCGGCCCCATCCCCGTTTCCACCCAGCCCGCGGCGGTGCGGGCGCTGTGGCAGTGCCCAGGCCTCGGAGGGCAGGCGGGATGAGGGCAGAGGGATGAGCCGCAGCCGCCGAGTGGACCGGCAGCTCATACCCGCCCTTGCACCGAGGTTAGTCATTAGTCATTCCATGGCAGGGGCAGGTAAGACAGTGACAAATGGGAGCCCACCTGCTTTTTCTTTGCTCCTCACGCTACTCCCGTTTAAGCCGGCACCTGCTTTCCACACAGGATACTCTTCATCCTGGCTCCCTCATCCCGATCTCTTGGATGCCATCTCTGTGTATCCACGGGGGTAACAGCTTTCATTACGGCCTCGGGCATCTTTCAGGTGGGCTCCGGCCTCAGCTCTCAGCAGTACCCAACACACCTAACCTCCCTTAAAATACATTTGTGCTACCAAAAGAAAGGCCAGTGTGGCTGCCTGGTCTGGCATGAATGAAAAGCCAGCAGCATTCCAACAGAATTAAGACTTCCCTTAGTTCTGGAACCATCAATGAAGAACTTTGGTTTAGTTTACTCTTGCTTGCCTTATAACAGCTGCTTTATTTTTAAATTATGTATCTTTCTGTGATGGCACTAAAACACAACAGAAATTCTTTAAATCTTCAAACCATCTGTAGCAGATTCATACATTTGAAAGAAATAAAATAAGCATATAAAGAAGAAGCAAAGTAAGGGAAGAAGGTACAGCTGCTTGGAAAATACATGTCTAAGTACTAGGGAATAAATTACAACAGCTAATTTCAATTGAGTTTTCTAAATTGTGGAGTTTGTGTGTCCTGTCAAACTCTCTCTTCTACAGAAGCAACCTCAGGAAAAGTAGCAGCTCAAATGGCTGAGCAGTAACTGCTTTCAGGCTTTGTAGACCTACCCACCAGCATGCATAAGTCAATGCTTTTACTGTAGTTTACTTATGTCTGTTCATACTAAAAATAAACTGCAGATATTAAAGCTATGGATAGGGCAGGTAGGAAAAGTATGTCAAAATCTAACCGTAAAAATATTATTTCATTGACTGGAAATGCTTTACAGGGATGTGCTAGGAAAAAAAAATAACAGCAGTAGCAAAACAACAACACAAAAAAACCCACCCTCAAAACCCAACAATATAATGTTTTAAATGAAAGGGCAGCTGGAATGTGGCTGAGAAAACAAGTCCCCTGGACTAACTGCACTTGGGATGACTGTCTCTGTGTTGCAGGTGCAGTAAGTGAGGATGTGGGATCTGTAGTGCACAAATTGCAGAGCTGATGCATGCATGTGGATATTATGGATATTAATGCCTGTTTTTTCTGGCAGATCACTGGCCCGGTGCTTACTCAGATCTGACATACCTGAGTCACATCAGATCTGCTGGGTATTTCAAGACAACTGAACCACAAAATGCATGGAAACTGTTCAGGAATTCCCTGTTAAAACAGACTGCAGTCAGTAGATTCATCATTCACAAAGAGGCTGTTAGACTCTCATTCAGGTACCCAAGAGTTTATGCAAATGACCTGGGGGTGATCCACTGTTAAAGCTAAATAAAAATGAAATGTGCTGTAGCAGATGAACCATCCTGGAGTGTTTCCCTTGCCCTCAAACTAGACAAGACTCATGGAGTGAATCAGAATATGTAGCTTGCAAAGTGATGGAGGTGAAAAAACTTCAGATTCTCTCACAGGGATGTAAACTGGGACAATCTCAGTAGACCCATCTCTGTATAAAACTTGGCTAAGAGAAAACTAAGGAGTTGATCTTAGAAGAAGAAGAAGAAGCAGAACTTAACCCTGGCAAAAAGTCTGTCTGTTCCTCTGCAGCATTGCTATGTCTGTATTTCTGTGGTCTGTCGCTGCACAGAGTGCTCCTGCACCTTCGTACTCCTGAAGAGTCAGGAGATGTCTCCTTGCTGCTGCTGCTGGCAGATGTGCCTAAAGCTGAAGATACTGTAAAGAATGTCCCTGTCTTGAGGTGTGTGCACACTGATGCTCATACCAAAATGGAGTTTCAGCTTTTGAAATGCATCTGATGAACAAAGCTAAACCTGGAAATATTTTGCTTTACTTTTGTATTAAAAGACAGTAATAGAAGCTTGCATCACGGCTGAAGGGGCATGTTCACAGAAAGATGGACTGCACAGGAAGATAAAAGCTAACTGAAATTAATCTTTAGACGTGACATTTCATGAAGGCTCCTGTAGGTATTACACTACACTGATGTGGTGTTACCCTAATGACAGCATGTGATGTTGTATTAATGCACCAGCTTGGTGTTTACAAAACGCTGCTGCCTGCTGGCCACTGGAATTTGTTCAGTGAGGACACATGAACTTTCAGGAATGTTTCTCACTGACTCACCCCAAATGTGAGCTACAACCGTGGGAGGTTTGAGCACAGGATTCTAACACAGCATTTGATTCTCCTGCTGCCTATGAGACTGAGGATCAAGCTGTTAGTCAGCACTCGCCATCTTTTTTCTGTTTCTTGTACCTGTAACCAGGAATGAGTGCTCTGGCCTTATAGCCAGGATGTTAAGGAATATGATTTATTTTCTGCTCTCTTTATGATTTCTGTGTAACCCTTTGCTTTAATAACTCAGTCTTCCTTTGTTTTAATTTCCAACTGTCAAAGCAGTTGCAAGGATTGTGATCCACCTCAGGAGGCAGTCTGAAGAAAAATCCCTTACCTCCCATTACCTAATCAAAAGATATGTGGTCTTTCTAGGAGGCAAGATTGATGCCAATCATGATTTCTTTGATATGATCCTGATCAATGTGATTGGGATGCAAGGGTTTGTATTTCACTCAGAAATTTTCTCAGCTGGTACTTGACAAAACCAGCTGCTGAGTGCCTCAGGCTGTAGGAGACACTCAGTGTTACATTCAGGAGCAATGCAAATCACTCGCTGTGCCAGCTCTGAGACAGGTCCTTACCAGAGAATATCTTTCACAAATTTACAGCATTCCTAAAATTATATCCCAGATCATTTCACATTCAGCAGACTTGGATCATGACTACACATAGACATCACATATCACATCTTTAGCCTTAACACCACCCTTCCCAACAGGCCAGGTAGAGACATCCAGACAGGATGAGCTTGCTGTATCACTAGCTTCAACAGAATTAAAAAATCATGTGATCCCTTTGCATCGTGTACATTGTACAAGAAATGAGGGCAGGAACACGAAGAGATGAGTAATGAAAATGCACAGCAAGTTGATTTCTTCAAGGGAAAAACACTGGGGATGCATCATATTTTCAGTGCCTCAAAGCAAAGATCACGGGAGGGGAAGAGGAGCAGTGAATAAGTCAGTTCTGCTCTGCTTTCCTTAAAGTTCAAAACTGCTAGTTTTGTAGACCCCCAGCACAAATTGCCAAATGGTAATTCCACTAGACAAGATGGTATGGGGTACCTTGCATAGCTTAATATGGCATAGCTGTAAATATTTTCCCCAGTGGGCTTTAGCTACCTGCACATTTCTGTCTCCATTCTGTACTCATGTGGTGTTGAATTTGTGGCTATTTTAAAGAGCAATTTTATTCAGAAAACAGGAAAATTTTTAATTTTAATTTTTAGTTTCCTTCTCAGGAGTAGAATGGGGCTGTGGTTTGGATCTGTGCTGCACACAGGGCTGATAACACAGAGGTGTTGTTGTTATTGCTGAGCAGGGATTGCACAGGGCCAAGGCCTTTCCTGCCCCTCAAAGGCCATGCTGGGGGGGGGCTGGGGTGCCTGGGAGTTTGGGAGGAGACACAGCCAGGACAGGTGACCCTGACTGACCCAAGGGATGCTCCAGGCCCTGTGACATCATGCTCAGAATGTAAAGGGGGAGGAAGAAGGAGGAAGGGCAGGGATATTTGGGGTGATGGTGTTTGTCTTCCCAAGTCACCATTCCACAGGACAGGGCCCTGCTCTCCTGGAGGTGATGAACACCTGCCTGCCCATAGGAATCAGAGAATTAACTCCTTGTTTTGCTTTGCTTGTGTGTGCAGCCTTTGCTTCTCCTATTAAGATGTCTTTATCTCAACCCATGGATTTTCCAGCTTTTACCCTTCTGATTCTCTCCACAGTCCCACTGGTGGGGGAGCGAGTGAGCACCTGCCAGGGGCTTGGGTCTGGCTGGAGCCAAACCATGACATCATCACAAAAAAGTCTGTTCAGTAGGAGCAGGAAGAGATGTGAGCAATGCCTACAGCATCACCTGCTTAAGGATTGCCTAAGGCATGGAGGGAACAGTCACCCAGGAGTGGCCGCTGAAAGAACCTCACAGAACCTTCCCTGTGTGTAAGGCACAACCGGTTCTGTGAGAGCAGCAGTGTTACTTCACGGTGTCCTCACTGTGCCCAGGAGTCTGTAAGAGGTTAACAAACCACATTCTATTACACATTTCTGCATGCCAGGCTTCAAGCCCACTCTGCTCTGCAAGTTCTGAAGCGATGCACAAGTGGAAGAGAAGGCTTTTTAACTTGCACTTGCTGTATTTGGAATTTAGGCAGTTCATCTTTCAGCTGCCAAATCCAGAAGCTGACAATTGCAAAGTTAAGAGATTCTTGGTTCCAGACCACCTCCAGCTCCACCCTGATCCTAATACTTATAGTTCTTCAGACAATCAGTCACGAGGACTGTGGCACAGGATCTGCGGGCATGTGGTAGTATCATGATTATTCTGGATACATCATCAGCTGAAAGCACCCAAAAATAGTTCAGATGTAACGTGTCTTCTGCTAAAGACTGCAGTCATCTC